TCTTTCCCTGTCCCCATCTCCATCACGCTTAGGAGTGCTTCTTCTATTTTGGTTTGTGTTTCCTTGTTCTAGAAAGACTGAAACTAAGCCTAAAACATGCCACTGCTCTTGGTGTCATGGCTAGAATAGAATAGAACAGAACAGAAAATAGAAAAGAGGAGAAAAGTCTAGACTAGACTAGACTAGAAGATCTAAACTCAGGTTTTCATCTGAGTAAAGCAATAACATCCTGAGAAGCCGAACAGGAAAACTTCACTATGGCAAAGGGATTAATCTCCTTGGGAGACATTACTAATAACAAGTTTAGATGGAAGAAAGAAAGTTTTATTCTAACCATTTTTGCTTTTACAGAGCTCAGATGTGCCAGGTACCGATTGCTTCATTTTTGTGGCCTTTAAGTCCTGTTAAACTTCAAAGCGAGTTAGGGGAATTCAGCACTTTAAAAAAATGATGCCCATAAATCTCTTCCACCTCCAGTTTTGAGCGGCCATGTGCACATTATCCATGGTTAGCCAGGGAAGCCCACAATCCGGACACGGGGAGGCTGCCATCAGTGGCTTTCTGAGGTTGGCATGACACGTCCACCGCAGCCACCCGTTGCGGTTGGGGAGAAGGGCCCCCCGGGGGGTCCTGTGCGGGGGTAAGGTGCCAGGACAGTGCCGCAGCTGCACCGCTGCCTCCACCCGGGCTCACACAGGCGGCGCAGAGCCTGGTCCGATCAGCAGCGGCGGTGGTTAGTTTTTTCTCGGTCAAAACAAGCGGCTTAACTCCTGAATCTTAATCATGCCCCATTGCCTGCTTCCTTGTTTTTATCCCTGTAGGATTATTCATCCTCTGAAACCAACAAAAAGATCATATTTTGCTTCAGTTTCTGAAACCTCGTCATTTTTTCCAGACTTTCCATTTCACGCTGTTTGAATTTTATTAAGATCTCTTTACACAAAAGCAAACTACCAGCTATATGATGCCCTGAGGGATCTGAAAGGCTGTTGCCATAATGTCACAAAACTCTGGAGACATTTTATTTCTACCAGAAGCCCTTTGGAGGATCATAGCTAAGGATATAAAATATCTTAAATGTTTACAGCAGGGATCTTGATCTCCATTGGAATTTAATACAAAAGCTTTTGGGTTTTTTATTCTATTAATTAGTATATCACATTAATACTGATCAAATAATACCTGTCTACAAAGTGAATTGTATTTTCTTTACATCTTGGGATGGAGAACACTATTTTTATTCCAGAATTGTGGATAATATAATGAATCATCTACTGTTAAGACTATGACTTTCTTTTCAACACCACAGTTGATCATTGCTAAGTATTTTCACCAAGTATTTTGCAGAAGTACCTCTGTTTTAACTGTTTCTACTCCAGCACTTTCTGTTCTTCCCAAACACAGCCATGCATAACTTCTTTATAGGAGGCTCACAAAAAGAAAGCATGTCTCCTCCAGTGAACAGACAAAGATTTTGTATTAATCAGGTTTTATTTTCACTGGTCAGCCTTGAAATCAAAAGCAACTGCTGAACTCACAGTAGTCTTTTATATGGCACAATAGTGCTGTTCAGATGAGTTTTGAAATAAAATTGTGTAGGACGCTGTATTCTAATTTAGCAAAGATGTCTCATGAAAAAAATTACTCCATTTTCAAAAAGCTGTAATATAATAGTGTATGCGCGTGTGTGTGTGCGCACGCACGCATGCATGTAATGTATCAGGAGGCATATTTAAATGATTAATTAAACCAATATAGATCTATATGTTCATTTAATGGGAAAATATTTTGTAAAATTTAATGTATGAATAACCATACAGAATCTAGGATGTAAATTCTGAAGATACTGATATTTAAAAACCTGTTATAATGTTAGAGTATTCAGGACACATTTTTTCTAAAATGCTTTGTAATTCTGTATGCCTTGGTCTTTCTGGGGCCATGGTGAAGGTTCTGGGATATTAAAAAAATCAGATGTCCTTAAAAATAATGTAAACAATGAAAACATTAAAGGAATCTGGTATTTTAAGGCAAATTGAAATCTTTCTATTGTTGAATGATGTTATGCATCAGTGACTCAAGTCAACAATTTTCTGTCACAGATAACTGAAAATCTTTACAGGAAGTATCAGACCAAATAAAAAGGATTTTTTAATTCCATTTCTAAAATTGCAAGAAGAATTCATAAAAATACAGAAATCCGACACGGATAATGTAATGGAACTACTAATATAAATATGTCAAATTGCACCACTGTTTAACATAGTATATATCCTCGAAGTAAGAATCACTCAACAATCCCACATTACTGTCCACTCACATTTTCTATATTTCCTAGCCCTTTTTGTCATGGCATTTACCAACTACCACTCTCCTTCCTCAGAATAATGCCACAAGGATATCACAGATAAAGATAACAGCAGTTGCTCTCTCAATATTTAATCTTCTTAGACCACAGAAATACTGTTCCTGTTGTCAAATAGGCTTTTGTAATTATCGAGATAGCTTTAGACACTGCTTCACATTAATGTAGTAACAGAGACAGTTACAATTTAACCCTCTTGATGCTGTCTTTCAATACAGTTTCTTTGTAGTGATTAATCACAATAGCATTTTTAATTGGTCAATGTTCTCTTAAAATGTCAACTTTTCAAAGTCATGATGTGCTATGTACTTCTGGCATCAACTGATTAAGAGAATTAAATTTAGTTCCTACTTACCAGTGCAGACATATGAAACAATGCCATAAACAGCTGACTCTATTACCTCAAGTTTTTATTCTATGATAAAACTGCTTTTTCACTATCCAGAAGATGATTAAAACTGAATTTAAAGGTTATGTTCTTGAAGTTCTGCACATCTCTTGGAATATGTCTTTCCTCAAAGGTAAAATAACTGCAGATGTTCAGAATCTCAGAGTTTTACTACAAAAGTCGGGATTTTCTACTGCAAACTGAGCACGTTTTATAACTGATAAAAATTACACGGTACTCAATTTTTTTTCCTTCCATTCTGCTTAAATCTCACTGCAGGATGTGTGACACAGGAGAAGGGCTGTTCACCTTTCAGACACGAGAAGGAGAAATGATATATCAGAAAGTCCATTCTGCAACACTGGCAATAGCAGAGCAACATGAAAGATTAATGATGGAGATGGAGCAGAAGGCACGGGTAAGGTCCTTTCACCAAAATCTTTAAACTTATAAAAATCAGTACCGAACAAAAAAAGTAGGGAGTAATGGCAGGCCATGGATTCAACCATAATAATGGTGTTAGCTGTGTGGCTAAAACAAAATGGGCTTTTGGATTTATGTATTTTCATGGTCAGGGATTTTCAGCATGCGCCAGACAATGATCTATTGTTGGTGTCTTTTTGGAATGGTGGATACCACTGAAGGCTAGATCCATGGTTACCTTCTTGAAAATTGTGGCTCTGTTGCTCAAAGATTAAGCCTTTAGCTGAAGCCAGCTGTGAGTTGACTATCGATGCATAAGTGCTAATTGCTCCTCATGGCCTCACAGATGGAAAAAAAAGTCCAATATAAACACTTCTTGGTGACAGCAGATATGTTCTGTTTTTCTTAATCCCAGAAAGAAATTACTTTCCCTTTTTAGCAATGCAATGTGAGTTCAAAAAAGAGTTTTTTAATTAAGTTCAGAATTTCCAGTTTGCACAAGTTATTTTTAATCACTCAAAGAAACTACTGGAAGTTTGGAGGTTTTTAAGACACAAAAAAAGTGATCCCTGTATGCTTAGAAGTAGATGTGGTCTTAAATTGTGGAAAGCTAACTCTCAACTGGTATGAAGCTACCTTTATATCCACCACAGAGGAAAGATATGAGGAGGCCAGGGAACCTCATCTGCATGCTTTTCCTCTTAGATGACCGCAATTCTCCATGTATCTTTGTCACTAGAAGGAGCTTTCAGGGTAATGGCACGATTTCCAGTGACTGCCTTCCTTTTTCCCTCGCCCACCATGCATGTGCCCACAGTCACACAAACATGACTTACATGATCCTCTCCTCAGGTTAGGGACACAGGAGCAATTGTTGGAAAGTCCAAGCAAAATAGATGATAGAGTAAATGGAAGAGCACTCAAAGTAGTAGAAGTGCTGGCAAAAAATAACTGCATTCCACTGGGCAGAATGTGATTGAATAATAGTCCAAAACCAGGAAAAAGTATTATTATAAATATGTTTGCTTTTGAAGTGGCTACACCAGTCAAAGAAGTTAGAGGATTTTCATGGTGCTGTAATAAGTGCTTAGACCAGGATCATACAGGATTTTCCTTTCATGCAACCACCACTTTCAAGTCTTCCACCTATCGATCAGCAGCTCTGCTGCTTAACAAAGCCATTTCCATTCTGTCATCAGATGACTTCCTTGAAACCTCATTTATGAAGGCTGTGGCCATATGGTAGGTAATATCAAAACTCCGAGAGCAGGCTGAGAAATAGAAATGACTCATCAGCCACGCAGTGTATCATGCACTTGGCTCCTGGATGAGTCTGCGTTGTGGTCGGGAGAGGCTTGCCGTAGGCTGCCATAGGCTGCATAGAAGCTGTGGGCTGTGTAAAAGAGGCTGAAAAATCTGTTGATTTTATACTTCAACTAGTAAGCTGATGCCGTGTTGGTTTGAGAAGCTTGGCTGCTCCTGACTGATGGGGTGCTGAGATTTTAAAGGGTCATCTGTGTCATCTGCAGTGTTTGAGTAGTATTCATATGAGAAAAAAAAAATCTGAAGATATTAAATAGACTGAATATGTGTTTTTTTCCTTTTATGAAGTATAATTTCTTCTCCAGTATCTAAATCCAACAGTTCCACCAAAGGCCTATGTATATTTTTTCCTTAAGATTCAAAATTGAAATACAAGCAAGAGTATATTTTCAAATCGGGGATCTAGAGGCCATAAATGTCTTTTGGAGTTTTCCCAAAGCTTGACCTTTGACCCTTTCTATCTATAGCTCTATACTTGGGGTTTTTTTGCTCTTGCCTGACCCTTTCTGTAACGAACAGCTCATGTTTAATATTATGGAATTAAATCTTTTTTTTTTTTTTGTAAAAGTGAAAATGGAAGGAATTTTTAAAAGTAAAGGAAGCTTAATGGCGTATCTGTTATTATACAAATCAGAAAAAGGGAAGAAATGTAATGGTAATTCCAACTTTACGTCTTCCTTCTAATCATTAGAAGTTATACATTAGAAAGGACTCTTGAACATTTGTGTGTTCTGTCCTAAGTGTTAACGTATTTTAAGTAATTAATACACTGAAGTTTCATCGATTTTTTTTCCAGATTATAATAGGTTGCAATCCAATATCGTAAAAAGTGAATACAGTTTGCAAAGGAAATCAAAGCACACTTTTTACTAAATCAACCTGTTTGAAATACATAGATTACAGTTAGTTTTCATAATGAATATACAAAGTGCATCGCCTTACTGATAAAAAAAGCAAAAAACCACAAAACACACAAAAAACCAGAAACAAATTCTGGCAGAAGAAAAAAGGTAAAATTAGTTAGTGCTGCCAGAGACTTGTCAGATAATTGTATTGCAAGCTGCCACAGGCCACATTTATGCCATTTATGGAGGTCTCTGCACACAAAAAATGCTGCCCCAGAATACTAAGTCATACATTCATTTTTATGCTAAGAAATCTATTGCTCAAGCCAATAACATGCTGGATAACTATGTTAATAAGAGAGAGACATGAGAAGGAAACTAATTTTTCCCATTACCTTCGAAAGGGCATGGACTGGAAGCAAAATTGTTCTGTGGTGGCTAATACAGTACCAAGTCCACCTCATTCTCATCACAAGGAGGAGAACCCCAGTTTAAGTAGGCAGTCATGTGCACACTTTTGTCTTCTGCCCGTTTCTCTTTCAAATTATAATACTGGTAGAATAACCTGAACTAGGGGATCAATGGTCCCTGGCATGGGTGTGGTTTCGAGTTAGTTACTGGTTTTACTGTGATCAAAGCAGACTGGATTTTATTCAAATACTACGGCAAAGTGGGCATTGATCTAATTTAGCTCAGGTGGCCACCTTGATTGAGTTTGAAATGTTAAATTGGAAAAGTAATAGTGTTTTATGTTCATTTTGTTTGGGACAACAGCAAATTTGGGCCAATGCAGGCAATTAAATTGAAATTCTTTTCCGGGAAATGGTTATCTCTATATTCACTTTTTTCAGTTGTCTTTTTTTTAATGGATCAGTGTGATACAGATGATAAATTTTGTTTGTGGATGGTTTTTTGAGGGGAAGGGGTGATATGGAAGTGGTTTGTTAATGGTTTTACAGTATCAACACAACAAATTAATTAAAATGAACAATGACTAGCTTTCTATTTACAATATTTTGTTTAGTGCTGTTGTATTATCCATATGAGAGTGTCAACAACTCTCTTTTTATCATCTGAATAGTCTACATTCTTACATACCTCTTCTCTTGTGCGCACACATACACACCACCACCCCTTTTGTTTTTTAAATGTAACATTTAGAAATCTGGTTGGACTTGCAGTCCTGGAATTACCAAAAAAAAAACCCCAAAAACCCAAACAAAAGCCTCAAGAATAGCATGTATCCTCACTAACTGTAGTCTAATTTTGAGCATGGAAGATGCACATCTGAGTGTCAACCAGCCAGCTCTTCCATCCCTCCCTTGTTGCCAGGCTGGGCTGCAAGTGCCTTCTACTTCCCTTCTGTTAGCTCAGGTGCTTATCAGACTCAGGGAGTCAATTCAGTTTGCTAATTTGGCAAAAAACCTAGCTAAAAGGATGAGGGTTCTGCAGGGTTATTGAGCTGAATTGGTTTACAGAGGCATCAGGGAACAATCAGATCTTCCCAGTTATTCCATCCCGAGGAGAGAAGGAAAAAGAGTAATTCACCCTCCGTAAACACTGAGTATCCTCCTCCTTGCGATCAGTAGATGATGTTGGTTTTGGTGATCTTTTTTTTAAAGAATCTCAGTGAAGATAATAACACCAGCATAGGAGCACAGTTGTTCTCAGCAGCACTTGTCTACCTAACCTCTACACCAGGATGACAACCTGCTTACTGTCACATGGCATAGGAATTGAAGACTTGATTTTCCTCCCTAATGCCAGCTTTAATCTTCTGCCACTCAGCCTCCGCTGAAAACACTCCTGATGTAACTTCTGCACCCACTGCTGTTTGAGTGCATAAAATGGGGAGTTAAGAACTGTAGATTTCTCATATTATGACTACACATATGAGGGAGGCACACTGATGAAATAGTTGTACCTTTGTAACCTTATAAATCACTTCTTTCAAGTGCTGCCAGTAAAAACCTATTATGTAATCTCAAAAGAATAAAAATTTACAATGTGTAAACCAATAATTCTAAATAAGATAGCACTAAAGTTGATGTTAACCAGCTGAAGTTAATCAAACGTCAGTAAGACTGAAGTATAAATGCATGAAGAAATGGTAATGGCGCAAGTTTCATAACATCATAGGAACTATTGTACGACACTTGTTTTGCTTTAGACAGCAGAGGTGTAAAAATAATGTCATTTTAGATTGAGATCCTTTTAACATTTACCAGAAGATAAACACCTTTATGGAACACTGCATCTGTATATTTCTCTTCCGTTCTCATTATTTACAAGTCTTGTCTCTACTATTCCATTAAATATAAGTGAATGAGTCATCATGATAGATTTCTGTCATTTAACAAAGATAATATCAATGAGTTTATATATTATTCTTTTTAAAAAAGTTATTAGTAGGGAAATAATGAACGTGCCAAAGAAAACAAATATCAGGCAATGGAATTGGGCTTAAGCAGAGGTTAGAGAGGAAGGTGGCTAAGAAATAAGCCTGCGAGTGATTTAATCTATCTCTTTCTTACCTCAAACAGAATGAGGAGGGTAGCTATTTTGTAGGATTGGTCTGAGGATAAATGTAAATGACAAGATTGTCAGGCATGGTATTCATAAGAATGTAAATAGAATGAAGAATATCAATGTAAATTGTCTTAGAATCAGAAAAGAAAAAAAAAAAAACCTCTGAGTCTGGAGAAGATAACAGCATTAGTTTCATAGTGAACTTTTAATGTAGTTTTGCTCTGTAAACAAGTATGTACTATGTATTTCTTCATGAATTTTTGACCTGTTCACAGGCTAAACACATACTCATTAAAAA